AAAGGAAGGGAGGAAAGAAAGAAAGAGAGAGAGGGAGGGAGGAAAGAAAGAAAGAAAGGAAGGAAGGAAGAAAGAAAGAAAGAAAGAAAGAAAGAAAGAAAGAAAGGGATAAGGTTAGAGTAGTTCCTTTATGGTTCAGTTTTGGGCATGGAGGTGGAAGGGCCAGTCTAACCTGTGGACTTATTCCTGTGGTAAACTCTGTTGCTGAGTGAGCATCTAATGTTTACCCGAGCCATCGTCACCCAAGTATTGTTCCTTCTTTGTACACTGGAGGCCTCTGCTGGCCACACCTAAATTTACAGTCTGTGATCTGTACAAAGAGAAAATATTTATAAACCATATATTCTTTGAGAGGTTGATATTCAAACACGTAAACAATAACAAGAAATGGCCCAATTTGGGGCTGTATTTTATATGGTAATATTATTAACATGAGAACTTGGGCACAAACAAGAAAGGAAAGGTGGTTTAATGATGTGTTTGCACATCAAGTTGACACAACAGAGTCATACGGGAAGAGGAAATTTCAGCTGAGAAGATCCCTGTATCATATTGGCAAGTCTATGGAATAGTTTCTTGATTAACGATTGATATAGGAGGGCCCAGCTCACTGTGAGAGATGCCATCCCTGGGCAAGTGGTCCTTGGTTGTAGAAGAAGGGGAGCTGAGCAAGTTGTGGAGAGCAAATCAGTAAGCAGCAATCCTCCATGGTCTCTGCTTCCGTTCCTACGTTCCTGCCTTGAGTTTCTGTCCTGTCTTCCCTTAGTGATGGACTGTGAGCCAAGACATGTAAGCCAACTAAACCCTTTGTTCCCCTGCTTTGTTCAACAAAACTTAAACATAAACAAAATACCTGGTTATGGATACCTCCAGGAATTATACATGAATAGTCAACAACTATAAGAAAGAAATATCCATTACTACTAATATTATGGAAACACAAAGTAAAACTCCAGTCCCAATGCACATCTATTGGGGTGACTGCTGGCTAAGGGTGAGTCCAGCATTTGTAAGAAGGTAGAAAATGGAGCATCCTTGGGAGTAGTGCTGACAAAGGTGTAAATTGCTACAGCCATTTTGGAAAACGGTCTACAGGTTTCTCCAGAAGTGAGACACAAATAAAATCCAGATGTGATGGCTCATACTTTAATCCCAGCACTTGGGAGGCAGAGACATATAGCTCTCTAGATCTCTATGAGTTTGAGGCTAGCCTGGTCTACACAGCAAGTTCTAGGCCAGCAAGAGCTGCAGAGTGAATATAAAAGAATAAATTTTCCCAGCTGTATCCCGTTCCCTCATTCCCTCCCAATCCCACCCTCCCTCCCTCATCTCCACCCTGCCCCTTTCCAAGTCCACTGATGGGGGGGGACCTCCTCCCTATTCATCTGACCCTGTTTTATCAGATATCTTCAGGACTGGCTGCAAAGTCCTCCTCTGTGGCCTAACAGGACTGCTCCTCCCTTGGGGGATGGGGACTGGGAAACAGAGTTAATAAAATGTAACTGATAAGAAAAAAATAAAATTTAAAAAAATAAACAGGCATAGGAAAAAAAAGGAAAAAATATATCTAAACAAATGCAAAAATGTAGTCAACTCTTCCATGTCTATTTCTACTGCCTACATATGCATGAACCTTTTGTTATTAAATTCATTCAAAACTATGCTAAGAGAAAAAAAAAGAATAAATTTTTAAAAAAGAATATAGTAAAAGCACCCATTGTTTCACACACTCAAAAAAAGTTAATAGAACTACCATAAGGTCCAGTAATCCTATTTTTTTGTGTGTATGCAAATGGAAGCAAAGTCAGTGCGGTGAAGCACTGTCTACACACGTATTTGTTAGAGCAGCAGGCATGGGATCAAGGTAAGTGCTCATCAGCAGAAGAGAAGACAAAGATGTGTGGTATTTAAAGTTAAATACTATCCAAACTTCAAACAAAGTAAAAGTCTGTTATTGCAATAATACAAATAAACCTAGAGGGAATTGTAGTTGGGGAAGCCAGCCATCTACAGAAAGACAAACACCAAATACTCTCACTCGCATGCTAACTGTGTAACTGGTGCATTTGTTGAAGTAGAAAGAATGGTGGTTAGAGAGTCTGGAAGATGGAGAGACACTGGCCAAAGCACGAACAGTTTCTGTTAGACAGAAGGAATGCTTTTCCGAGGTGTAGCCTACAGCATGTATGATGGTTAACCTTGTTGTCAACTGGATCTGGGATCAACTAAGAAACATGCGGTTAAGAAGGGGTGTGAGGATGGTTTTTAACTAACCTAAGGGGGGGAAGACCTTCGCCCAGAGTGGGCCTCAGTTTCCGTATCTGGTCACTGGCCTGGATACAAAGTGTCCGACAGAAAAGCTGTTTGTTTTTGTGCGTTTGCTTTGCTTCTTGCAAGTGAGTGCATGCATATATGCTGGTGCTCCTGAGGCCCCTGCCGCTGCCGCTGCCGCTGCTGCTTGTCCTCCTTCACTGACAGCAAAGCCCAAGATCTTCAGCCTTCCAATGTGGAGTACAGAGCAGTGCCCCAGCCCAGGAGGCCTCCTGGCATTCAGTGGCATCCAGTTTCGTGCACTGAGCTACTATGTTCTCAGCCTCCCCAATGTAAGGCCAGCCACTGCTGAACTACACAGATCACACTGGGTAAGCCAATCTAATAAATCTCCTTTTAATATATTTTTTTATTTTTTATTGAAAGTAAATTCATCTCTCATTCAGTATATATTGATTACAGTTTTCTCTTTCTCTACTCCTCCCAGTCTCTTCCCACCTGCCCTCCCCTCCAGATCTACTCCCTTTCTGCCTCTCATTAGAAAAGAACAGGCTTCTGGGAGATAGCAACCAAAGAAAAGAAAATTCAATATAAGATAAAACAAAAACCATTGCAACAAAGTTGGGTGAGGCAGCCCAACAGAAGGAAAAGAGCCCCCGGGAGCAGACACAAGAATCAGAGAGGTTCTAGGTTTTATCCATACATGGTCCTTGGTTGAATGTCAGTCTCTGAAAAGACCCTGTGCCCAGATATATTTGGTCCTTGTGGAGCTCCTATTCTTTCCCCATCATACTAACTCCCCTTCTTTCATATGATTCCCTGTACCTCTGCCAAAGGTTTGGTTATGAGTCTTTGTATCTGCTTTGAAAACACTGCTAGTTAGAGTCTTTCAGATGCGCTCAGTAGACTCCTGTCATACGTTCAATGCACATCCCTCAGATTTCTTATTTTATCATTTCTGATCTCCTAGAGAACCCTGATGATGCTTATGCTTATTAGCTTAATTATTTAAGCTAATTAATTTAATTATTCCATATTGTGTAGAGATGTTAAAACATCACATCCTGTTAATATGCACAATTGTAACTTGTCAATTAAAATTTAGAAATATATTGTAATCCACAAATATTCACAATTGTAACTTGCCAATTTTAAAAGAACAGACATGAATCAAGCAATTAATTATGTGGGAAAAACAAAACCAAATAACTGGTAGAGAATACTGATTAATTCAATAAACATTGTCAGAACTTTATTGATTATGGATTTTTTTTGCACAGTTTATTTCTTTATATCTGTTATGTCTGATTGATGACTTAAACGCTCAAGAATTCTATATAGGCCATATGCCCAGCAACTTTGATGAATCTTATCTTACTAATGTTGTTAAGTGTTACAAATTGCCATACAAAAATGATAATATTTAAGTTAGGCATGGTGTCATGTACACGCCCAACACTTAGGAGGTAGAGGCAGGAACACCAGAAGTTTGAGGCCAGCCTAAATTACATTAGAATGTATCTCACACACACATACAAAATTAAAAATAGAAATAGAAGCATGGCCATGTTCTTCCTTATTTTCCTTATTTTATATGCCCCATTTGGTACAGCATCCTGTGTTGCTTTAAATATCTTGTACATTGCTGGAGAACAGGGTTTTCCTGACTGTTTCCAACTATAACTTAATATAGATTATTTTTTTAAAACATAGTCTCAGGCACATTTCTCTGTGTATTCATTTCTAGTCTCACAGCAAATTGTTTGAGCTACTTCAAAACGTCGGTGGATTCTAATTCTTAACATTTTGCTTAGCACCATCACAGCCACCCTCAGAGCACGCATTGATGGGAAGCTGTCATTTTTTCTGCAGGATGTTCAGTGTAACTATAAAGATGGGGGCAGGGCGCTGGGTAGATGGGTCAGTGAATAAGGCACCCACTGCACGAGCATGCGGTACTCAGTTCAGATCCCCGGAACCCACATGAAACGCTGGGTGGGGGCGCATTTGCCTATAACCCCAGGAACTGGAGGACAGAGACTGGAGATCTGAGCACTTGTTTGGTCGGCCAGGCTAGTTTGATTGGTGAAGCTTGCTGTTCAGTCAAGAGACCCTAACTCGAGGTAATAATCAGAGCCAAGCGTGGTGGTGCACACCTTTGATCTCAGCACACGGGAGGCAGAGGCAGGTGGATCTCTGGGAGTTCTAAGCCAGCCTGGTCTACAGAGTCCAGGACACAGGGAGCTATTACACGGAGAAGCCCTGACTCTAAAATAAACAAATGTAATAACCAGAGAGTGACCGAGGAAGATGCCTGGTGTCCTACTCTGTTCTTCCAATGCATACACAGGTAAGCACGTCTGCACACGTGTGCACACACACGTACCGAGTCTTTGTAACACCAGGTGGTAATAAGTGGCCGTGATGTGTGCTTTACAGGAGTACTGAACACACTTGCACACCTCTGCGACCTCTGATGCTCTGCACGTTGTAAGAACATGTTTTCTTTGGCCACTTTGTAAATAAAAGAATGACATTTAAAAGTAAAGGAACTTTTCTGGATGTCACAGAGTCAGTGCTGTTAGAGCCACACTGTAAATTCAAGACTGCCCAGGCCTGGAATCCTCGTCCTTCTCCATCATGAATGTAAGAAGGAGGCCTCATCCACAAGCTGTCCCTTATTGATTCTTGCCACACCCCTCCCCTCAGTGAGTCACAGAGTCAGGGTGTGCTTAGGGAAATAAATGTGTTTATTTATATGCTCTCCAGCAGCATTTCCTTAAGGCCTCCTGAATGCTGTGCATGTGCCAAAAGGAGATGTTGACAGCGCAAGTAAACCCTCTCCACAGGATCCAAGCCTAGGAGCCTGGGAACCTAAGAGCCCAGGAACCAAGGAGCCAGGGAGCTAGGGAGCAAAGTAGTTTCCAGACCACTCAGAGTGAGTCCAGAGCTGTCTCCAAATGTCAGGAACCAGGCTACAAGAGAAAATAAGATAAGACCTTCAACACAGGAACCAACCACATCATTTCCACATGGTCCCCATAAGGAGGCTGGCTGAGCGATCAAACGACAAAGTGGGGCTGTGCTTGTGAGGATTTAGGATTTCAGGACAATGAGGTCAAGTCCCATTTTCATTGTGAAACCTCAGAGCACTGAAGTAGACATTCCTTGAATCATTCCTATCCTTTGTGCTTTCACCAGAGACACCATGAAGTAAGCAACTGGGATAACAAATAATGCACATAGTGCTTTGCAAAACGGTTCAACCTCGGCCTTTCCATTCTGTAGATAAAGAGACTCAGAAAGCCGTTCACTCTCGGCCTTTACCCAGACAGGCTGCAGTAGAATCAAAGCCCCAGGCAATCCTAAGCTTCGTCCTAAAATAAAGGAGATAGTAGTTCCCTTAAAGGACAAGCAGACAGAGGCTCTTTATTGGAGTAGAGCCTCCCGGCTCATAAGCCTTGACCTCCAGAGCCTTGAAGCAGAGAAGAGCTGAAGAAAAATGAGATCCATCTACCCAAGCCCACACCTTACCTTACTCTGGAGGAAGGCAGATTTTCCCACACATGCCAGGGCAGCACTTATAGTTGCCCTCACACTGGCCATCGAGCTCACACTTATTGGGAGGATTAAGCATCAGACATTTTCCTTTAAACTTGTGGCACTTCCCAGGCTTCTTTGCCACTGGTGAGAAGAGAATCACAGGTCAGATGTCTTAAGCTTTAGGCACCACATCTCTGCCTCTTTCTCCCAACCTCTCCAGCCAGAGCAAGGAAGCTCATCTCATCCACCCTCACCTCCATCACCTCCTCCCAGGTGTGTCTCCTGAAATAACACCTGGTTCCTCTCTAACATCTGTCCTCCAGGTGAGGGTGACCAGCTGTCTTGTCCCGAAAGGGTTGAATGGCTTCTCCATCAAGCTATCTGAATCCCCAGTGCCCAGGTCATCACTTGCAAAGCCATTACTCTTACAGAGTGACTGCTTCAGACAAGTGGGTGGCTCTTCCTGCCAGTGACAGCACGATGCCTTGACTGACTGACATGTTGGTCTCAACAGCTCTTAAAAACAATGATGCCTAGGAGGACCCATTTATTCATTCATTCATTCATTCATTCATTTATTCATTCATTCATTCAATCCCATCATCTTCAGTGATGGGTCTTGAGGTTCGTTCTTCACCTAGCTCCCCTGATGGCTCACCTGGTCTGCGAATGGGAACAGGATCAAGGCATTTGATACCACACCTATCTTGGCAGCACCTCTTTTTCCCTGGGCATTCCCAGTCACTACCGCACTGCGGTTTCTCACGCCTAAGGCACTGGGCAGGCTTTCTAGAAGGGCAGGCTCCGATTTTAATAGCACCTAAAGAGAAGATCAAGATGTTAGGAGAGTATGAAATATCTTATCATAATTTCTAGACAATGGACCATTTTCAAGAATATAGACCCTCAGCCCAATGGCCCACAACTTCAAGGAGAGATACCTGACTGATCTAGGGGAGAAAAAAATTCCAAGAGTTTTACAAGATAAGTAACCAGGAGAAGTCACAGACTGAAGATAAAAGGCACAAGGTTCCCACTCAAGTTTTTCCACCGCAGGGCTAAACTAGATTACCAAAGACAGAAGGGGAGAGTAGGAACAATAGAGACCAAGAGAAACAAATACGAAGGGAGCAAACATGTGAGATGCTGAGATATAAAGCCAGAGGCAGAAACAGAAAGGCTAAAGGACAAGGACAGGAACAGAGTGAGACCAGAGTTGACAGGATGGCTGGGTAATGAGAGGAGCATTTCTACATGCCATGAAGCCTCACAGAGACCTCAGACCCCAGCAACACACAGACGCCCCCGGGAGGTCCAGAATAAGCGGAGAAGCAGCCTCCAGAAGGAAACATACCCCAAACCATCAGGAGCCTCCCTGTCTGACACTCCAGGAAGTTTTAGACCAAAGCAACTCCAACTCACCATCCTTACCTCCTTCCACAGACCGGAATGCCAAGATTCCCAGAACAAGGAGCACCACGAAAGGCAAGAAGCCGCTGGACTTCATAGTGAAGGCAGAGCGGCTCTGATGACCAGTCCCAAGTATCACTGTTTATATCTTTACTAGTAGGTGTGGCCCCAATGGAATGTGCTTGGCCCCGCCCAGCTGCTATTGCCTAGGCAGGAAGCTTAGCCACAGCACAGAAGTCTTGATACTACAGAGATATGTGGTAGAATCTCTGTTTCAGGCAGGACCATGAGGCCAGCAGAGTAACTACCAGAGAGCTGAAAATGGAAGAAGATGGTTTGTAAATTCCAGGTGACCGCCTGAGCCCTGAGCATTCTGAAGTCCCCAATCCTATTGCTCTTGATGGTAGAGAATAGCAGAAAGTGCCAGTCACAAAAGGACTAACAGGAAGCTAAGACATCAGGCATGGGCTCTTTGCTGAGACTTTGCAATAAACCTCTATTTCTCATGCTTCTGGACTTTCAGGGATTTCGAAACCTATATTGCCCAATGCAAATTTCTTCTCAGGATGCAGATGACTCATGGCTCAACCAACTGATGTTTATTTCTGCCAAATCATTTGCACTGCTGCTTGCCCAGTGCCTAGTCCATGACTGAAACATGGAAAGCAATCCCTAAACAAATGGAAGTTGTACAGGGAAGGGCCTTGCCTTCAGCAAGTCTCTTTGGAGCTCAGTTTCTTAGGCATGAAATGACTTGGGGCTGGTCTTGTGATTAAGGATTTGAAGTGACCCTTAAAATAATGAATGAATTGCATCGTTTGCTACTCAAGATCATTGAAGTGGATTAGAGTAGAGAGGCAAGGCCTCTTACTCATCAGTGAAATCAGCATTGAGCCTTGGTGTCATTTGAGTTGTTGAAGCAATTCTTCCTACCCCTAAATTCTCCACAGGCATCAGATATCAGCAAAAACTATGGCTGCTGTGTTTTCATTCCATTGTGTATGATATCCATCGTGTGCTACAATTTGAGTGTACAAATTGCTTCTAGTTATTAGGACAGACATCATTCTCTGTAGAATTCAACCCAAAGTTTGCAAAGTTTGAGCCTTGCCTCTGCATCATGGGGCCTTCTTTTTAGATTTCATACACATGCACTGCATGTATAGAGTTTACCTCTTCTCTCTACTCCCTCCAAGGTCATCCTCCCATCCAACTCCCTCTCAAATTCTTGGCCTCTTTTTCTTTGGTTATTATTGTTCTACATGTAAATAAGTAGGTGTATTAATACAACCTTCTGAGTCCAGTTGATGTTATTCATGTGTATACGCATTTAGGGCTGACCACTTGATACTGGATAGCCAATTGGGCTCACCCATGGCGAAGACTCCTCCTTTGGCAGTCATTAAGTTCCTGTACCTAATCATCTAGGGGTGGAGCCCCATGGATTTCCCCCTTCCACAGGGGCATACCAACTGGTATTTTCATTGTTCAGTTCTTATTTAAGCAGTCATGCTGTTGAGATTTGATGGTCCTTGTAATTTTCCCATTCGTTTCTCAAAGAGTAGAAATTCAAACATACATGAAAAGGCTTTGCATTATATGCTGGGCTCCACAAAGGATTCTCTAATTCAAGAGCCAGCTATTGGCAGATCCTTTTATACATAAATTATTCAGTGGTTTAGATATTGATTCCAAAGAAAAGGGAAGAAAACCTAACATGCACCAAGTAACTCTGGCCAGTGAGATGCACTTGCAAACTTGTAGAGACTGTAAGAAGGAAGTAGAGGGCCTGGCTTCCACCCATGGACAAGCTTACTGGCTGCTCAGGAGTTGGTTCTCACTTCCTCCCACACAGCTTCTGCACTTCCCATTCTCTGTTCCTTCCTACCCTCCTCAGTGCCAACAGAGTTTCTAGAATTTTCTAAATATTTGTTTCTTGGAGAGTCAAAATGAGAATTCCACATCTAGATCTTTCTGTTTGTGATTAGTGACTGGTTGACTATGAAAACCACTGTTTTCATCAGAGAGAACCCTGTAATCAATCAACAATATTTCTTACAAAGAATGCAAGCAGTACAATGATGATAGCAAATTCCCACTCTCAACATAATGGATTCTAAATCATTAAATCATGCAAAGTCAAGGTGAAAGGGAGCCACTGAAGTTATCCAAACCAAGAATTATAACTGCAATTCCTGAGCCAAATCCAGAAGACTATTTTTTTTTTAGATTTATTTATTTTAATGTACATGAGTATTTTACCTGCATGTAAGTCTGTCTGTACGTGGCTTGTGTGTCTGGTACCCAAGGATGCCAGAAGGGAGCAGCAGATCCCCTAGAATGGAAGCATCAGACATTTATGAGCCACTGTTTGAGTGCTGAGAATTAAACCCAGGACCTCTGGAAGAGCAGCCAATTCAGGCTATTCTCTTTTTACGAATGAGGGATTATTGAAATATTTATAAATTGTCTACATCTTTTGTCCACTACAATGACAATGTGAAGTAATTGCAACAGAACCTGAAATATTTACTACAAAATCTAAAACACCTAAACAGAAAATGTTTTCTGGCCTCCAACTCAGGTCAAACTCTCAGCTTATAGTAAAAGAAACAGAACAAGGTATAAACCCCAAGTTACATAATAAGTTAATTCTAGAACTTAAGACAGCTTTTCTAAAGTAATTGAGTCATATCCAAAACCTGTTTGGTTACAGGCACACACTCATAACCCTATCTTAACTTACAGTTGATTCACTAAATTGACTTCACACACACTCTCTCTGCATCTATTAAACTCTACAGATCTATTCATTCATTACTTAACAGTTGCTTACCACCTGCCAGGTGCTGTTCCAAGTCCTGAGGTTCCACTGAACAAGACACACTGGGCAATTGCACGCAGTCACTGAGAGCCGGCACTTTCAAGTCAGGCATACCTGACGTGTGAGATGACCGGGCCTCTTTGGGCTTCTGTTACTCAGCTATAAATGGGACTGTTGCCTCCTCCTGTGTGGAACAGATGTGGTGCTTAGCTGGAAAACCTACAACAGCAGGCATGGTCTTAACAGCTGCCAGTCCTCAGACAAAGGAGCGCCCAGGAAGCTGTCAGTTTCTACGTAGAGACTCAGTACTCGGGTGTGGACTTGGAGGCTGTAGTCCATCTTGCTCTAACCATTAGATGCTTAACAAAATCCAGTTCCATCAGTGCTCTAGTTCTGTCTTTCCAGAGAACTTTTACTATCATAACTTTCGAGGCTCCACAATTCCTATCCTAGTAGCATTTATTCAGTGATGTGTGTATGTGATTTTAGATATACATAATCACTGAATAAATATATATTTATAATAAAATATTTTTATTTATATTATATATATAATATATAATATAATTTTTATATATCCTCAGGAAGCACCTTATCCTTTGAGCCTTGGGACACTGGCTCCAAAAGAATATTTCCAGGGTCAATCATTTGGTTCTTCCTCGTGTTCTATCAGTGCCAAGACAGGAGGAGGAGTCCAGCAGCAGGTGGTACCTAGAGTAGCAGGAGATCACTGTGAGATCTTCACTCTTCTGTAAGTGTCTATGCACCTTTAGGGAAGCAACATTAAATGTGTCTTTAAAACTCCATGGCTGAGCCAGGACACAACCTGCAATCCCAGCACTAATGGTGAGCTGTATATCAGCCTGGGTTCTGTAACAAGACTTCCTATCCAAGAAAACAAATAACCCAGGAGGCTCACACCTGTAATCGCAACACTTGGAAGGCTGAGGCAGGAGGATCATCACAAGTTGACCAGTCACAAGCTACATAATAAGTTTCAGGTTAGGGCTACAGAGTGAAACTTTGTCTCAGTTAATGATGATGATAATAATAATAATTAATAATAATAAATAAACCTAAATAGAAAGCTAAAGAAGAAAACTTGCTTTCTATACTTTTAGCAACAAATTTTTTAATAGAGGGTGTCACAGTTTCATTTTACACTGGGTGTTGCTGATGCAAATTATGAAGCCAGTGAAAGGAATTATGTATAAAATAAGAAAAGCAGCATTTCATTTTTGTAAGAAATACCCATGCCTCATCCATCACAGCTCAAGACTGACTCTGGCATGCCAATCAAAGACAAAACACATGAGTACCCATAAAAGAGAACAGAGAAAATGAAAACTCAACAAGTAACCTCTGGAACAAATTAGAAGCAGCTTGGAGAAACGCCTTCCCAAATCACTAGAATCCAACCCCTTCTGCCTGGATCAAAGCATGTTTTATGTCAATGAGTGTGTGTGTGTGTGTGTGTGTGTGTGTGTGTGTGTGTGTGTGTGTGTGTTTTAAAAAGGTGACAATTAGAAAGACCTGTGGACTGCTGTAATGGTCTGGGAAGCCCTTTGGAGAAGGTAAAAGTAGCCATACCTCCCACAAGGAACAACCACAAGGGGCTACCAACCAGGGTGCTGGCACCGGATGACAGCGATGGAGATCCAGTAGAGGGTTGGATAAATAAATACCTCCCTGGAGAGTGAGGCCCAGCACTCACACAGACCTCAGAGCAGGTGCTTTCCCAAAGCCTCTGGCAGTCCTGGTTGAGCTCAGGTGCTGAAAGGGAACATAAAGTTTTGAGAAACTGGATGTAAGTAGTTCCCTCTGTTAAATTCAGATGAATGACCTTATCCCTATAGATGAGGTTATACGTAGAGGTTGAACCGCTTCCAGTGTTCCCAGTGTGAAATGTAGGGTATAAACAGAATAACTGCAGTAAACATTCTTCTTTTCGAAAGGGAAATGTGAAAAGCAATACACATGTCGTCCCCAATCCTTGAAACATTTTATGTCCTATTAAGTCAAGGATGTGAGCACTCCCTCTCTGGTGACAGATGACTTCCTCCTCCCTGGAAAGTCCAGTCCTGCTCTCAGAAGCCTCTCCCTTGCTACCTCCTGCCTTCTATGGTCACGTCTCTGAGTACAGCAAAGAATACAGCTTTGTTGAGGGAGGCAGGCAAGGGTGCACCGTCTCAGAAACTCATTTCCTATGGATGAGTAGGACCCGGGAAATGAAGTGAGCAGTGAACGCTGTAGGTGAAGCCTGAATTGCTTGTTTAGTTGGATCCTGGTCAATTTAAGTCAAGGAAAGCATGAG